GCAACTCCAAGCTGCAGGCCAGTCATTCCCACACACACAGCAACTCCAAGCTCCAGGCCAGTCATTCCCACACACAGCAACTCCAAGCTCCAGGCCAGTCATTCCCACACACAGCAACTCCAAGCTCCAGGCCAGTCATTCCCACACACAGCAACGCTAAACTCCAGACGAGTTATTCCCCACAGACAGCAACACCAAGCTCAAGTTATTCCTACACACAGCAAAGTCAAGTTCCAAACCAGTTATTTCCACACACAGCAATGCCAATCCCCAGGCCTAGCACTAACTCACACAGCAAATTAAAGCACCAGGCCAGTCATTCACACACACAGCAACTCCATGCCAGTCATTCCCACACGCAGCAATGCCAAGCTCCAAGCCTGTCATTCCCACACGCAGCAATGCCAAGCTCCAGGCCAATCATTCCCACATGAAGCAATGCCAAGCTCCAGGCCAGTCATTACCAAACACAGCAATGCCAAGCTCCAGGCCAGTCATTCACACACAGAGCAAAACCATGTTCCAGGCCAGTTATTCCCACACACTACAACGCCAAGCTCCAGGCACATGAAGAAATGAAAAACAGGCTACCTAATACCATATACAGCAATAAGTTCAAACTAGTTATTCCCACATACAGCAATACTACAATCTAAGTGAGTTACTCCTATACTGAGCAATGACAAGTTATACACCCAAGGCTCAATTATTCATACACACTATGTTAGATTTGGGTTTGCAATGTTTACTTGCTATATAACTAAATATACATGTGATCTATAGAGATTATTGGTTAGAGGGCTTGAAGCCAAAAATTTAATTTAAAAAAAAGGAGTTAACTTGATTGCTTTGTAACAGGTCAACAGACAATATCAAAGATTCAGAATATATGTTTGCTGTTCCTATACCAGTGACCAAGTTACAGACCTCTGCCAATCACATATACACAATCTAAGTCCAAAGGCGTCCCAGTTAAACTCACAGATTTTCTTGTTATTGAAACTACAATGTAGACAGCTGATCACTTTATATATTCTGATTGTTAGTATTAGAGCTCACTCATGTACTTAATTTGCTAATGCTCCCAAGAGCTGTAATTAGCAATATCTGGGTGAACGCTGCCGCCACATGGAAAATTATAAATAAAAATGATTCATAGGGTATGGTGAGAAACAGCAAATGCGCAGCTATGAGATATTGAAGGGGAACATAGCAATGATAGGCTGAGAGTGATGAGGTGGGTTAACCCAGTGCTCTCAGTTAAACACTGCAGTCCAAAAGTTGATGGTTAATAAATAAGGTCAGCTATGCATTAGCCAGGCCACACAGGAGGGGCCAAGCTATAGGTGCTGGAGAGCCCATTTTTTTTGCCAAATTGCTTGTTATACAGCTTCTAATGCTTAGATTGCCCATTTAAATTCCACAAAATGAGTACAAGATCAATCTGTAGCCCATGTTAAATATGTGAGCATGTTAGACTAAAGGATTGACATAATAAATTAGTCACTTCTAAATCTACATTGATTTAGAATATAAAGCCAAACATTATTTAACAAAAAAAAATTTGAATGTATTAACACCAGTTTACCATAAAATGTATTTGTTATTTTACACTGCCTGTTTTGTTTCTAAAATAATGCAACAGAGGCATAGGAGCCAAGATTAAGCACACATCCCAACCCAGCTACTTACAGAATAAAAAGCTAAAGAAATAGCTGACATTGAGAGGCATTATTATTTGCGGAGAGTGAAGCTGCGTTGGGATCGTTGTTGGAAGCAATAAACAGGCACATTACAGTGGGGACTAGTACGGGGTGGGGAAAAAATGAAAACGCACATCAGTGCGCATGTAATCATCTACATTACAGAGGGAGCTTGTCATAAAATGGATGGCAGTGAGGGAGACCGGCGCGGCCTTGCTTAATATTCCATGTAGATAATGCTGCCACTTCTGGGAGCAGATGGGAAGCGTGACCAGGAGAGCAATTCAATTGCATATTAATACAATAGCAATTACAATGTACTATGTGTCAGAGGTCTAAAGTATTTTAAGATCATGACCTGCCAGCCATTAAAGTTTACATAAATATGAGACAGCAAAGGTGCAAATCACACCCCCAAGCTGTCAGTCAGAATTGTACAATACTGTCTTCAGTTTTCAGCATTTATATTAAGAACACACCGAGACAGGTTGCATTCTAGCGTGGGAGACAAAAATTGTTTCCTATGGACAATAATTAAAACCCTCTGTGACATATAGAGCAAAGACTAAAACCTGTAACATTTTATGCTTCCTGAAATATGCAAATCGAAATAATGTAATATTCCGGTTCCTAATATGACAGCCCGGGTAGGCAACCTTCAGCACTCCAGATGTTGTGGACTACTACATCACCCATAATGCTCTTACAGCCATACCGCAAGCAAAGCATCACGGTAGATGTAGTGCCGAAGGTTGCCTACGCCTGTATATAGCAAAGTATATATAGGCTATTAGACCTCCACTACGATGTTTTTTTTTTTATAGTGCAAAACTGCCCCCTATTTAAGTCCAGATGGAATGGACCAAAGTGGATTTGGGTTTAGTAGACAAGCACCACATAGTATGCTACGATCACTGTGTATACATCCCTGAGAACAGACGCAGAGCTTCAAGCATCATTTTAGAGACAAGATAAAGTTTGCTGTGTAAAAATAGAAAAAAAACTAAACATTTTCATAAAAAAAAAAAAAAAGACACAATCCGTACAAAAGCATTAAATTTTCCAAACTATGACCCATTTTCTAGAACTGGACAGGCAAAAATAGTAATTTCCTCCCATCTCAATGAACACCAGGCATACTCATCCATAATCAATACCCAAAGATTAACATTAGCCACATGCTTATGGATACATTTGCTCTATTTAATCACTGCTAATCTCCATATGTCACAGTCAGCAACAAGGGACAATGGCGTGTTAAGAGTTTTTTAGGGGGCAATCTAATAATGCCCTCTGCATTTCACACAAATGATAGCACCAGAACACGCAGAGGTCTGTTGGTGTATTTTACAGCGTTTGTAGGATACTTGACCACCTGTCTTAAATGAATTACAGGCAACAAGCGAACACAGCCTTGCATGCAATTAGAAGAGAATTACTGGCCATTTATAGGTCATTTCTCTCACCCTGACATCTGGGAACCTCCACTAGCAGGGATATATATGGTCAATTCAACATAATGAAAGGGACTGCAGTAGCAAGATTTCAGAACCATATGCATTGGCACTCTATAAACACAAAAACAATAATCAAAGAAAAGGGCTACCTATAAGGAGTCTAGGCTTCGTCACATGACTTGCACCATCAAACGTTGTCCTCAAACAACATACAACAGGTATAGGGCCTCTTAAATTCACCAATAATCCAACTATTAGCATATTAACTCTGAACAATCTTACAAGGACTTTACAGAAATTCAGTGTCCATGACCCACTAGTCGACAGCCCAGTTGAAAAAGGTCCCCTCCAGCAAAAATTATAGTACAGATTTACTCCCACCAAACAAAGCATTTCAATAACCACAAAAATCAAGTGCAGTTGGGTGTCCTGGCTACGTAAGAGTTAAAATAGCAGTAAATTAATTGTTTTTTGCTGACCCTATATCAACACAAAAGATAATAGAGCTGCCCCTAGCACCTAGGATGAGGAGTCACTGTCACCTGGAGAGCAGCACTGTCACCTGGAGAACAGCACTGTCCCATGAATAGTGACAACCAGCACAGGAAGTGACGAACACTGTCACACACAAATTGCAGCCCAGTTGTTACAAAGTAAGGACTTCTATAGACAACCAACAGTCACGTGAAAAGCAAAAACACACTTATTATATGGAAAGTGATTTAAAGCAGTTATACAAGACTCCACTATCACACGGTAAGCTGTACACGCTTATAACATGGAAAGTGATACCCAGCTGTTACATGTAAAAGCAATACCCAGCTGTTCCATTATACAAAACTATTACATACCCTCTTCTGGTCCTCCAGTCCATGTGTAATAGCTTTTCGGCGGTAATGCTGCTTCGTCTCTGAACCCGATTCCATCTCCGAATGATATGTATCCTTCGGTTCTCCTCAGAAAATCCACAAAGTGAACACATACATCCCATCAGCGTGCGGCTCCATTGAAGCATTGGTACGGGCTGGCCAGATCAGTCCCACGCCGTTGGGAAGGAACGCAAATGCTTTCCCGATACACATCCAACATGTCTGTGCATCCAGATGGATATTAACACACCTACATCCATCACTTTGTCCAATCCTCTCAAACCACACACAGTCACATTGTAGGGTCCCAGTCAAATTCTATGCCACGAACATGCTGTGATGCCTGGGAATCAATTGGAATCTAAAGACACGTGTGTGGCAAACAATACTGATCAGTAATGATATATGCGTAGACGGGTATCAGTTTGCTGCTCTCTCGTTGTCCCAATTCCAAAAACAAATCTACAAAAAAAATGATGGAAATAGATATAAACACACATGTAATATCAATAATAAACAGGGTACAAATAACTATAAAAACTGTACAGTCAAAACACTTATAAAAACAAAACAAAAAAAAAAAAAAACATCACTAAGGTATTTACAGTTAATTAATAATGGTTCATTAGTTTCCAAGAGACTATGATTGCACTTTAACAAAGATGCTATTTTAGACACACACCAGTACTAAGAGACTGTTATTACCTAAAGACAAAGAAGAAAATAAAAATCACTGTACTGTCTTTTCCCACGCTCAAATTACCATTTAACACTTAATTATAGAGCGCTAGTAAATATTTCTGAATATCACTACTCAGAGAAAACCCTGACACCTCTACACTGAGCCAGTTTGATGTGTGTGGCTAGCTTGAATGCAAACTTCCCAATCAAATAAAGGGGGTGGGGGGTTGGGCTTTCACCAACCATCAGATACCATCTGCTATTCCATAAGCTAGGCAGGTCCTCTATCTCTGCTTTCTGCATACAAATTGCACGATCCCTTTAACTCTTTGCTGCCAAGCTGCAATCATCTGCAGTGGGAAGTCTTTGCGAGTAAAGGACATGCGGATGTTTCACCCGGCAGCAACAAAAGCTTTGAGATGGTAAGAGTGCATGGAGTATAAAAGATTCTCCTCCATTCAATGACTCCTGCAGCCGCTACAAAAACGTGTGACTGAAGATGCAGACATCTGGGAAATAGCCGCTGCTCCCTCGGAGACACTGTTCAAGTTTGCAAACAGTGTACAAGGCTCCTGAAAAGAAAACAAAAAAAATGGAAATTACAATAATTAGCAATTAAATAATTGGATAATTACCACCAATCATCTTCGTTATTGTGTTTTTCTAATATGAGGGCAGAGAACAATGTATACTGCTAAACATAAACAAATGAATGCTGGGGTGACACAAGATTTTGGTGCATATATGTAGGGCCCTAGAAAAAGTGAGGTGCAACTGAAAGTGTGGGGTGTCAGAATTCATAGCAATAGCGGAACACCAAATTATTTCAAGGTGGGGAGATGTTGGGGGGCAGTGAATTCAGTGTACATGTAGGCTATGAAGTCATAGGATGGCAGTAAAATTGGGGAGCACTGTATTTCGGAATGTAAAGGATTGTGGAGGCACTGAATTTGTCATAAAACCAACTTAAATTTCAAATTTAAGGTCAAATTAGAAAAACTGAAAACTTGGCTAACAGATTTTTTTTTTTTTCAAATAGTCTATTTTAGCTTAAACTTTACAAAAAATACACTTTGAATTCCCAACAAATTCTTCACTGAATTCACGGTGCAAAGATTGCTGGATTGCTGTACATTTTAAACACAGGATATTTGGGGGCAGTATATTCGGAGTAAAGAATATTGGGATTAATGTATGCAAGGTACAAAACATTGTGAGGCAGTATGAATTGAGTGCATGATATTGAGGGACAGTGTATTGAGGATACAGAATATTGTTAGACAGTATATTATAAGTGCAGGTTATTGGGGTACAGTCCAGTGTATTCATGGTACAACATATTGTGAGGCAGTATAAACTGAGTTCTGGGTATTAGGGGACAGTGTATTCACGGTACAGAATATTGTGAGGCAGTGTATCCTGAGTGCTGAATATTGGGGAACTATATAATCAGAGTGTATGATATTGGGAGGTTGTATATTATGAGTGCGGGATATTGGGGGACTTCATAATTTGGATGGAGAATATTAGGGAACTATATAATCAGAGTGAAAGATATTGGGGGCTGTAATATATGTGGGTCTGTATATTCTAAATGCAGAATATTTGGGGCTGTATACTCAGAATGGAGGAGTTTGGTGACTGTATATTCCGAGTGCTGTATATATTCTGTATATACAGTATTCTGAGTGCTGTATATTCTGGGAGTTTGGGGACTGTATATTCTGGGAGTTTGGGGACTGTATATTCTGATTGCTGTATATATTCTGTATATGTTCTGAGTGCTGTATTTTCTGGGAGGCTGTATTTTATGAGTGCGGGGTATTGGGGGACGTTATAATTTGGGTGGAGAATATTAGGGAACATTATATATTCCAAGTCTAAAATATTTGGGTCTGTATATTTTGAGATTAGGATAGTGGGGTCTACATAATCAGGATGCAGGATATGGGGCAGTTGTATGAGTGCAGAATATTCAGTGGGTGTATAATCAGGGTGTAGGATATTAGGGGACTGTAAAATAAGGGTGTAGGATATTGGGATGTAGAATATGGGGGGCTGTTTATGCAGGGTGTATTATATTTTGGGGAACTGTATATTCTATTGGGGTTGTATATTCAGGGTGCAGGATATTTGGGGGGACTTTATAATTAGGGTGCTGTATAATCAAAGTGTGGGATATGTGGTGGTTGCATTATATTGGGGGTGTATAATCAGGGTCCAAGATATTTGGAAGGCTTTATTATAATGATAATCAGGGTGTTTTAGTTTTGGGCACTGTATAATCAGGATGTAGGATATTGGGGCTGTATATTCAGAGTGCATTACATTGGGGGGCTGTATAATCAGAGTGCATTATATTGGAAGGCTATATAATCAGGGTGCATTATATTGGAAGGCTATATAATCAGGGTGCATTATATTGGAAGGCTATATAATCAGGGTGCATTATATTGGAAGGCTATATAATCAGGGTGCATTATATTGGAAGGCTATATAATCAGGGTGTATTATATTGGAAGGCTATATAATCAGGGTGTATTATATCAGGGGCTGTAGATTCAGGGTTTATATTATATTGGGGAGCTTTATAATCCATCTTGGGGAGCTGTATATTTAGGATTTCTTATATTGGGGGCGGTATATTAAGGGTGTATTATGTTCGGGGGCTAAGCAATAAAGGTGTATAATAAAGGGGAGCTGTATATTTAGGGTTTCTTATATTGGGGGACTGTATATTAAGGGTGTGTTATATTGGGGGGCTAAGCAATTAAGGTGTATTATATTGGGGAGCTGTATATTAAGGGTGTATTACATTGGGGGCTGTAAAATCAGGGTGTATTATATTGAGTAGCTGTATATTAAGGGTGTATTATATTGGGGGGCTAAGCAATAATGGTGTATTATATTGGGGAGCTGTATATTAAGGGTGTATTATATTGTGGTGCTGTATATTTGGGTGCATATTGGGGGGGTTGTATAATCAAGGTCTATTATATTGGGGAGCTGTATATTTGGGTGTATTATATTAGGGGCCTGTATATTAAGGGTGTATTATATTGGGGGCTGTATATTAAGGGTGTATTATATTGGGGGGGCTAAGCAATAAAGGTGTATTATATTGGGGGGCTGTATATTAAGGGTGTATTATATTGGGGGCTGTTTAATCAGGGGGTATTATATTGGGTAGCTGTATATTAAGTGTGTATTATATTGGGGGCTTATCAATAAAGGTGTATTATATTGGGGAGCTGTATATTTAGGGTTTCTAAAACTGGGCGACTGTATATTAAGGGTGTATTATATTGGGGGGGGCTAAACAATAAAGGTGTATTATATTGGGGAGCTGTATATTTAGGGTTTCTAAAACTGGGCGACTGTATATTAAGGGTGTATTATATTGGGGGGGGCTAAGCAATAAAGGTGTATTATATTGGGGGGCTGTATATTAAGGGTGCATTATATTGGGGGGGCTAAGCAATAAAGGTGTATTAGATTTGGGAGTTGTATATTAAGGGTGTATTATATTGGGGAGCTGTATATTAAGGGTGTATTATATTGGGGGCTAAGCAATAAAGATGTATTATATTGGGGAGCTGTATATTAAGGGTGTATTATATTGGGGGGCTAAGCAATAAAGGTGTATTATATTGGGGAGCTGTATTTTAAGGGTGTATTATATTGGGGGCTAAGCAATAAAGGTGTATTATATTGGGGAGCTGTATATTCGGGTTCATTATATTAGGGGGCTGTTTATTAAGGGTGTATTATATTGGGGGGCTAAGCAATAATGGTGTATTTTATTGGGGAGCTGTATATTTGGGTGTATTATATTAGGGGCCTGTATATTAAGGGTGTATTATATGGGGGGGGCAAAGCAATGAAGGTGTATTATATTGGGGAGCTGTATATTGAGGGTGCAGGATATCAGGGAGCTGTATAGTCAGGGTGCAGGATATTGGGGGGGCTGTATAGTCAGGGTGTAGGATATTGGGGAGCTGCTGTATAGTCAGGGTGCGGCATGTTGGAGGGATGTATAGTCAGGGTGCAGGATATTGGGGGGCTGTAT